GCCAAGCAACTGAAGTTGGGTAAAATCAAAAACCAAATCAGGATCAGAAGCAAAAACAAAAATGAGAGAAAGAGGGAAGCAAATTTTTTATGTAAAAATTCTACCTTCCTCCAAACCCTCTGGATCTAGGCTCCCTCTTGAAAGCTTGTAAGCCAGTCACTTCTTGCCTTTGTAGTGCCCCCCATTTTGGGTAGCCAATGTCCAAGTTACCCATCCCTGTCTACTCTGTGTATGGAGGGGGTGAGAATGATGCTTGCTGTAAAGATTTGTTCTCTCTTTTGAGCTACTGCATCCATAGGTGTAGGTCAAGTTCATCAAATTGTATAAGATTACTCTTTTTTCCCTCTTCTTTCTTCTTCTAGTTGAGGAAGCAAGACTTTATCTCATGTACTTTGGACACGTTATCAGGAAGGACCAGTCCCTGGAGAAGGACATCATGCTTGGTAAAGTAGAAGTCAGTGAAAACGAGGAAGGACCCCCAAAGAGATGGATTGACAAAGTAGCTACAATAGGCTCAAATGTAGTAACAATTGTGAAGATGACACAGCACCAGACAGTGTTTTGTTCTATTATACATAGGGTTGCTATGAATTAGAACTGTCTTGCTGGCACCCAACAATAACATCTCCAAATGAAAGAAATTATAAACCCAGCTACCTCCATGCACTTGCTTCATGTTAATCTTGACAACTGAAGACAGCTCATATATTAGAGAGGCATTAGTCATGAACACTCAGCTCCAGTGTTCAGGGTAAATAGTTATTTATTCAAGGAAACAGAATTCAGTGGCTTAGTAATATGAAGTTTGTCTAGATTGGGATTAGAAAACTGTAGAGAGCACAGACTTAGTTAGGAGGGTTTGTCGAGGTTTTGTGTGTTACTATTTGGGTAGCTCATCATGATGCGTATTGACTTGACTATAGGACTGCTTCTCACATGCAGTCTGTCAGCCTGTGGCCATCAGTTCCAACCTAGCACTGACTTACATTGTAAATGCAGCTTCATGTTGTTGTTGTTGTTTGGTGCCATTGAGTTGGTACCGACTCATAGCGACCTTATGCACAGCAGAACGAAACACTGCCTGATACTGGGCCAAACTCACTACTCTTGCCATGCTTGAGTCCATCAATGCTGCCACTTGTTCAGTCCATCTCATTGGGGGTCTTCCTGAAGGGTCACCTTACCAAACATGATATCCTTCTCCAGCGACTGGTCCCTCCTGACATATGTCTGAAGTATGAGAGATGAAATTTGCCCATCTTGGCCTCCAAGGAGCACTCTGGCTGCACTTCTTCCAA